ATTTAATTTTGATTGTTTTGGACCACTTGACGGATCTTTGTTGAAGTGCCCGCCAAGCTTCAGTCGGGATAACAGAGCACAATCTGAAAATGTGACGTCACAACAGAGCTGTTAGTTAACATGACAAAAAATGGAACTGCTCTTTGCGCAACCTACTGTGTCTTTTAACAGTGGCCGAACGCTTCTTTGGACTCGTTATTGCCACTACAGACGTCGAACGTTGTGAACGCGCCGTAACGGAACGGGAACGCTGTCCATTTGTCGTGCTTATCGTCACATTTTTTTTTGTTATTGTTTTTCATGTTAAGTGATCTGATAATAAGTATTATAATCTATGCCAGTTTGTTATGCAAAAATTAAAAAGTTTTCCGCTGAAAAGTTTCTTGTGTCTGCTATTTGCCGGACGAAAAAAAGACCGCCAATTTATGCGGTAATTCAAAACAAAACAAGAAGTTGGCAGCAACTACAACAAGTGCATAAGACAAGACAACAATATTTTGAAGCCAGCCAAGCAACAGCGACAACAGCGCTGACTACCTGTTGTTGTTGCCTTCGCTGTTGTCGACCTGAGTGGATCAGCAACAAAGATGAAGCCGGCTGTGAGCGTTAGGCACATTGGTCGTTATCTTTTATTGTTAACATTTTGTGTCCTCACCTGGACATTCAATTTGGAGCAGCGGCAGCCGCTAATCAAATATGGCCATCCACATTCATATTTTGGCTACTCACTGGCCACGCACACAATCGGCGAAATCAAATCGTCCAACACGACAAAATGGTAAGCCAAAATCCAACATTTTCTGCACATTATCTTTGCTCATCAACAGAAGCAACGCCGATCTGACTTTGCTAACAGACTTCTGGCTAATAATTACGTTAGTTGTCTGATAGATATGAAAACTTACTTGAATAAATACTCTAGTAGGAGGGACTTTTATAACCCATTCGTGATAAAGGGGGCGTGAAATTGGAATTTATTGATAAATTCAATTTCAAATTTCTCTGTCAGAATAAAAAAAAACAAGTAAGAACGTTGCAGTCGGGCGTTACCGACTGCGGAATACTCATTCACATCCCATTAACAATTTAGTAGTTTAGTTTCGATTTGCCACGCCCCCAATGGGCGGAGATATATCCGCCATAGCTCGTGATCTAGGGTGGTCGACGCGGACCTACATAACAAATTTCAGCTTTCTAGCTCTTCAACTACTATGATTTCTGGCATATCGGAAATGCATTTTCCTAGTAGGCGGATCAGGAATATTTTAACACTTTATAAATCGGAGATATACACAAGTATGTGTTCCAAACTTCAAGTTCCTAGCTTCAATAGCGCCGAAATAGATTGCGTTCATAAGGACAGACGGACGGACGGACAGACGGAGATTGCTCAAAACCAATATACTCATTCACTTTCGTGAATGAGTATAATAAAATAAGAATAAAATTTGGTAAAATTTTGTGTATATTGTAATATATTATATTAAAGTCGATGTTTAAGCCTTTATGATGGATCTCCTGTGCTAAAGCCTTGAAATTTTTGCTTCCAAACTATTACTAGAGTAGAGAGTAAGCTTTTCGTTTTGTTTACCTTAATTAACTGACATTGATTATTAGTAATAACAAAATACGACAAAAACAAAAACGTGTTTGGCTTTTTTTTTTTTTTTGCATTCGCAATTTTTATACCCTGAATGGGAAAACAGGGTATAATGGTTTTGTTGAAATGTATGTAACAAGCAGAAGGAGGCGTGTACCCCACAAAGTATATATATTCTTGATCAGGGCGACAAGCTGAGTCGATTTGGCCCTGTCCGTCCGTCCGTATGTATGAACGCGTCGATCTCAGAAGATATAAGAGCTAGTGACTTGCACATAAAAATATCAGTTGCTCCAAGGGTTCAGGGGATTTCGTAGTCGAGCAGTCTCGACTAGAGCTTTCTTACTTGTTTTCATCTTATT